ATGTCTAATGTAGATAACACTTCAGTTACATTCCTTCTGGTCTATCAGTTCAAAATTATGTATGTCTAATGTAGATAACACTTCAGTTACATTCCTTCTGGTCTATCAGTTCAAAATTATGTATATCTAATGTAGATAACACTTCAGTTACATTCCTTCTGGTCTATCAGTTAAAAATTATGTATATCTAATGTAGATAACACTTCAGTTACATTCCTTCTGGTCTATCAGTTCAAAATTATGTATGCCTAATGTAGATAACACTTCAGTTACGTTCCTTCTGGTCTATCAGTTCAAAATTATGTATATCTAATGTAGATAACACTTCAGTTACGTTCCTTCTGGTCTATCAGTTCAAAATTATGTATGTCTAATGTAGATGTCTAAACATTTGTTGGATTTTAAAACTATTTTCCATGTGTTCCATAAGCTTGGAATATTATAAAGTCACACTCTCTTTGTTTTACTATTCCTTGAATCCAAAGGACGACTACATGGAAGCCCTTAACAAGCTTCACATGACTGTTTCCCGAGCTTATAAAGTCAACACAGAAATACGTTTTGAAGTCTTTATCCACAAAGTTGATGGCTTGTCAGATGACCACAAGATTGAGACACAGAGGGACATAAACCAAAGGGCAAGTGATGACTTGTTGGATAGTGGAATTGACAATGTCCATTTAAGGTCAGGTGCATATTATATAACGTATCGGTTGTGGTGAAGAGAAACGTGTGCATGTTGTATACAGTACCGGTAGTGGTGAGGAGAAACGTGTGCATGTTGTATATAGTACCGGTAGTGTTGAGGAGAAACGTATGCATGGTTGTATATAGTACCGGTAGTGTTGAGGAGAAACGTATGCATGTTGTATATAGTACCGGTAGTGTTAAGGACAAACGTATGCATGTTGTATATAGTACCGGTAGTGGTGAGGAGAAACGTATGATAAATATGAACTTTCTGTAGCTGATAACAAAAATTTTGCTTTAAATGTTTTCATTGTAACCTGGTAAAGGGGAAATTTAATTGAATCTTAGTATTTTATAAAAAATATCAGTTTAAAAATTAATTTTTGTTTACGTAACATAATGAACTGAATATTAAAAACAATTTTCCAGGGTTTTATATGATTTGTCCAAAAAAATTTGTCAAATTCATTTGTTCAAGTCATTGTAATTCTATGTCTTAACAAATAAAAAATGGTCGAAAGTGTAATAAATTTAGGGGAATTTTTTATAGTACATGTAGGTCTACCTTATCCTGGTTGATTGTGTGAGTATTTTTGTTAAATGTTTCACTTTTTTTTTCATCTGTTGGTCATAAACAATGTTTTGTAGTTTATAATTTAATCTTTTTTTTTTTGGTATAATAACTCAGTTTTATGCGTACGTAACCAACTTTTTTTTTACATAATATTCTGATTAGTGGAATTAATTGATTATTCTCACATTAGACTTAGATTGTTTGAATAATTGGAAATGATAATAATTAGAAATGCTAATTTTGATCAATCTGTTGTTTTTGTGAGACCTGACACTAATTGATTAAGCTGAACAACCTGCAATTAACGAAAAATATTAATGAGAAATCGTAAGGGCAATCTTTCGATTACTTGGATAGTTGAAATATTAGCAAATGCTAATTATTATTAGTTGATAATTTTTGTTTCATTAATTGATTTAATGCCACAAATATTTTGTGTTCTTGAGCCGAAGCTTGCACTGTTTACTTTGAATGAATCTTGAGATTGTACACATTTAGTGCAGTAGCTCGAGAAGGTGTGTCAGAATGTGAAGTGTTAAGATGAATGAAGACTCTTGGTCTGACCAGTAACTGGTCATTGATTCTACTAACCATGGATAAAATTGATATTACAAAGTATTTGTTTTTCAGTTTCTACCTGACCAGTATTTATGATCATTCAATATTTGAAGCCTTAAGCAAAGTCGTCCAGAAGCTAATTCCACAGCTACCGACCTTAGAGAATCTACTGAACATCTTCATATCGGTAAGTAGAACGTGCTTATTTTATTATAGGGTTATAATAAAAGGTATAGATTTTGACTTCAATAGTACTAATTTGTGTAACTTACTAATGACATTAGCATAACAATTAGTTGATATCTGATTGAAAACACTCTTATTTTCCAGGTAATCCATGAAATAAAACATCACATGCAGTTTAAAAATGTGTTATCCAGAACAGTAATTATATTCTTTTATATGAATGATAAACACCATGTAGTTTAGGTATACGTACAGACAGAGCAAGCTTTCATCGCAGTAATTATATTCTTTTATATAAATGATAAACACCATGTAGTTTAGGTATACGTACAGACAGAGCAAGCTTTCATCGCAAGACTACCGTATTGTGGTAAGTTAAAAGGACTTCACTGACTTAAGCAAAACAAGTCTATATTTCACAGTCACCTTTCGAAGCAGGTCAACAGTCGTACTTTTCAATATAAGAATGTTGGTTAATTAAACATGCCTAACAAACATAATGTTACATAAACAGGAAAATGGAACAGAGGTAACCCTAACAGTTTGAGTAGGAACTAACTACGGACCTTCTACTATAACAAAAAGCTACAAGAGAGATGGTTATTGTCGGTCACATTTGTTTAACGACATTGTTAGTGTTAATTTATTAAATATATGCCTTGGGTAAATCAGCCAAACAAATAACTGGAATGTCAATTTTACATGGATTTTCAGAGTTTTTCTTCATTATCTGTGTCATTTTCTATGATTCATGTAAATCTGGTTTGAAAATATAGGGGGGGGGGCAGCCTACACTACAACAATGTTCCTCATGCTTGTAATGCTTTGTAAACAAAGGGTCCAATGTATAATGTGACTCTCTCTCATTGGCTGCTCATTATGGAATGTTTCACTACACATACACTATGTGATATGGCTATAGCTGCCTCCATCATGCCCGTGTGAAGACAGTGATTTGTCAGGTAAAGCTGAAATAGAATCTGTCAAATCTATCTTTACAATTCTTCATCCAACTTAAAAAACAAAATCAGTAGACCACGAGCATTTCATATGTTGACATATTTATTAGACATGTCGACCCATTTATCCTGAAATGAGCTATGAAACCTGGATGAGAACACTGTTGGAATTATTTCTTCGTTGAGCCGATCAGTCACATTTTGACAGTTGCATGGAGCTATTCTAGCCACATGTCGTAATGTAAACGGACACAGTATTTTTGAGAAGGGAATACTTTTATTCTGGAAGCTGAAAATTTTAAAGTTTGGGCAAAAACTTGGCTGGTTTCATGCAGGCGATAACAGGGTTATTTATTAAGTTAGTGAATATGATGATCGAATATTTATTGTTCATTGGTGATGTACCTGAAAATATTAATATTATGTGTCCCAAACATGCTCTGAGAGCACCCACTCTGGCTGCTTGCTTGTAGCCCGCTCTATGGGATTTCAGAGTTGTTTTTTTTTATTTTTTCCTGTTGAAAGCCCTGAAGTAAACAGGGAAACACAGTAATAGTAACACTTGGAGTTGAAATGAAATATAAACCATCTGACATCTTGTGTATTTATTGAAGCAAAGCAGCCATTCAGTGTAAAAAAAAACCCTCGCCATGCTTTATTGTATTGGAGTGATCCAATATACCAAAGGAGCTACTAATATTCTTGTGGTTTGTGTGTGTCTTTTAATAAAACAACTTTTGTTTGAATAATGGACATTAAATAAAGCCTCAGACTGAAAGTCCCACAGAAACAAATCCTCGGGCCAAAAGGTCCCACAGAAACAAATCCTCGGGCCAAAAGGTCTCACAGAAACAAAGCCTCGGGCCAAAAGGTCTCACAGAAACAAAGCCTCGGGCCAAAAGGTCCCGCAGAAACAAAGCCTCGGGCAAAAAGGTCTCGCAGAAACAAAGCCTCGGGCCAAAGATTCAACTGAGACAATGCCTCTGGCCAAAAATTCCACTGAGACAATAAAATTGAATAGAAAGTTGTAAAAAGACAAACTGGACATCATTACTATTCAAATATCAGAGATAAACCATTCTTGACTAGACATCATATATTAGTACATGTTAATTCTTTTACATATATTACATGTATATGTATCCTTCTAGAAGAGCACAACCAGTTAATTTGACTCCACCTACAGTAAAGAAAGGAAAGTTCTTAAAGTATGCTATTTTGAAATAAGTAATTATTATGAAATATTTAAAACATCTATCTTTGTTTTATTGTTTCTGAAAATAGACCTGACATTGGGAAAGTTCTTTACCTATAAAGAGTTGTGTAGGTGTAGCATGGTGTAGATAAAGAGTTGTGTAGGTGTAGTGTGGTGTAGAGAAAGAGTTGTGTAGGTGTAACGTGGTGTAGAGAAAGAGTTGTGTAGGTGTAACGTGGTGTAGAGAAAGAGTTGTGTAGGTGTAACGTGGTGTAGAGAAAGAGTTGTGTAGGTGTAGTGTGGTGTAGAGAAAGAGTTGTGTAGTGTGGTGTAGAGAAAGAGTTGTGTGGGTGTAGCGTGGTGTAGAGAAAGAGTTGTGTGGGTGTAGCGTGGTGTAGAGAAAGAGTTGTGTAGGTGTAGCGTGGTGTAGATAAAGAATTGTGTAGGTGTAGCGTGGTGTAGATAAAGAGTTGCGTAGGTGTAGCGTGGTGTAGAGAAAGAATTGCGTAGGTGTAGCGTGGTGTAGATAAAGAGTTGCGTAGGTGTAGCGTGGTGTAGATAAAGAGTTGTGTGGTGTAGCGTGGTGTAGATAAAGAGTTGCGTGGGTGTAGCGTGGTGTAGATAAAGAGTTGCGTAGGTGTAGCGTGGTGTAGATAAAGAGTTGCGTAGGTGTAGCGTGGTGTAGATAGAGTTGCGTAGGTGTAGCGTGGTGTGGATAGAGTTGTGTAGGTGTAGCGTGGTGTAGAGAAAGAGTTGCGTAGGTGTAGCGTGGTGTAGATAGAGTTGCGTAGGTGTAGCGTGGTGTAGATAGAGTTGCGTAGGTGTAGCGTGGTGTGGATAGAGTTGTGTAGGTGTAGCGTGGTGTAGAGAAAGAGTTGCGTAGGTGTAGCGTGGTGTAGATAGAGTTGTATAGGTGTAGCGTGGTGTAGAGAAAGAGTTGTGTAGGTGTAGCGTGGTGTAGAGAAAGAGTTGTGTAGGTGTAACGTGGTGTAGAGAAAGAGTTGTGTAGGTGTAACGTGGTGTAGATAAAGAGTTGTGTAGGTGTCGCGTGGTGTAGATAAAGAGTTGTGTAGGTGTCGCGTGGTGTAGATAAAGAGTTGTGTAGGTGTCGCGTGGTGTAGAGAAAGAGTTGTGTAGGTGTAGCGTGGTGTAGATAAAGAGTTGTGTAGGTGTGTATAACAGTTTTGTTGTTGTTTTTCTACAAAAATAAACTTAAGTTAGAAAAATGTTTTAGATAAATTTTTTCATGCATTACCCACGAAAAGTTGTTAAGCCTATCATAATAGTACTAATTTATCTTCATTTGTCAACTTGCTTATCTTTTTGTTTCATGATCGGTGTTGTTTTTTTGTCAGAATTCGGGAATAGAGAAGGCTTTCCTGTTTGACATTGTTAGTAAAATATACATTGCTACAGACAGTTCACCTATAGATATGCAATCGTACGAGCTCTGCTGTGACATGATCGATGTGGTGATTGACATTTCGTGTATATATGGGTAAGTCTGTTATTCTTGTATTTAGAAATTATTATTTAAATGTTTTGAAAGAAGTCAGACATATCTAGAGTTTAGATCAAATTGTAAGCTGATTTAAAAAGGCAGCTTAAACCTTTCCAGGCTGGTGACAGCATTTCATACACTTCTGTATTTGTTTTCATGAAAATATTAATAACTTGGAAATGGAACCATATCTGTTCTAAAACACGTAAAGTTTGATAACCATTGGCTGATTTTGGTAAATGTACAATATAGGAAATAGAAACTGGTATATATGACATTACGACATACTACGTCGTTATGTAACACTCCTTTAACTGTTGACCTGATAGTCTGGTTTCTCACAACCGGTACATATGACATTACGACATACTACGTTGTTATGTAACATTCCTTTAACTGTTGACCTGGTAGTCTGGTTTCTCACATGCGTATTAGCTATAATATAAACATACAGCTGTTTCAGCTCATACCAAAATCTAGGCTACCATAAGGTAACAAATGTTAATAAAATCTACATCAAAACAAGATTTTAAATCTGAACACAGTGATGTTTTTATTTTATAGGTAATTTGTGAGAGAACATCAAATTTTGTTCCACATAATGTTGTCATTTTTCCTGATAAAAAAAAAAAATACACGAGCTAATAGGCTGAAGAAAAGCTGAGTCTGTCAAACACCATTGCTCAACAAAAACTTTAAACATCAGACATTGGTTGATATAGTGTAAAATACTTCACTGTGAAGAAAAAAATCCTTTGATCTTAAAAATACTTGAAAAAATAATATATTTTACAACATGACTGTATCTTCCAGCTTGACTGAACAGAATATATTTTACAACATGACTGTATCTTCCGGCTTGACTGAACAGAATATATTTTACAACATGACTGTATCTTCCGGCTTGACTGAACAGAATATATTTTACAACATGACTGTATCTTCCGGCTTGACTGAACAGAATATATTTTACAACATGACTATATCTTCCGGCTTGACTGAACAGAATATATTTTACAACATGACTGTATCTTCCGGATTGACTGAACAGAATATATTTTACAAATATTGACTGTATCCTTCCGG